TTGGAATGTGTGTTTGCGCAAAGAAATTGTGTGTTTTGTTGCAGGATGGTATTGTGAATTCATTCATTCGATGATCCTTTGCAGTGTCTAGACGACAGAGCGGTGGAACACGAAGCAATCAGTCGAAGACTATGCATTGGACTGTTAAAGTTGACGGTGGTCCAAGACGTGTTAATCATGCAGCCGTTGAGTTGAATGGATTTATTTACTCGTTTGGTGGGTTCTGTTCCGGTGAACATCATGACGGAAAAATCGCACTCGATATTCATGTTCTCGATACAGGTCATTGCCTTAACACTTTATGCAGAATGGCGGTTTTTGATGACGGCTTTGAGTTACCTTAGTTCCGATCATTCAATTAATCACTTCTTTTCAAGCGTTCACGGATTTCATCGTCTCAAAAATCATAATCTCAAAAAAGATTCTTTCTCTTCAGAAACATACCGTTGGCGTAAACTGCAAACACGTAACGAAGAATCAATGGGTTCTGAGCTATCGCTAGGACGAGAATTATCAGTGATACCGTATCAGCGATACGGGCATACCGTTGTAGCATATCAGGGTAAAGCCTATCTGTGGGGTGGTAGAAACGATACGTATGGTACAAGCTCAAAAATGCATGTTTTTGATCCTGGTCAGTTCGAAATTTCAATTTCAATTGTTGAAATTCCCAATGATATGAATTCGCTTCGAATTCATCAATTGAAGTTTGTAATGTGTGCGATCACTGAAATAATAATAAATTTCGATGATCCACCCGCTTCTATTATTGCTCAAACGAAGCATCAATCGATGGTCATTTTGATACCCATCTTCTCGCCATATGACTATCCTGAAATTTCAATTGAAAACGCCGCATAATGATTATAGAATGAATCTGCGGAGGACTTAAAAGTTTTCACAGTTTGTTTTTAAACGTTTGTCTTATGATAGCCAAACTGAAGTGATTTATTTCGCTAATCAACCTGAACGCATATAATCAAATGACATTCCGATGCAAGGTTAACACTGGAACGTAATTCTGTTTGACCGTTAATTTTTCTGATGAAAACTTGTTTCCAGTTAAGTGACACGTTTGTTTTGCATAAAATCTGATTAGTTTAGATAATGAAATATTCTCACAGTTACTGTCGCCATCATAAGAACGTCAATTGTGTGAGAGTTATCTTATTTTTCATCGATTCGATAAAAAATTGTTGGTGATTTATTAGCGATTCAGTGCATTATTGTTGATCATCATATTTCATTGAATGCGTCGTAGTGGTTTTTGTTCATTACCCACCCAATGAATCGCATGGTCGTCTACACTCTTGTTTGATCGAAACGATTTGAATGGCACCGAACCGAAAAACTTGATCAATTCATATTCTCTCCATTAAATTCTTTTTTGGGCTGCAACGAATAAATTGTTTGCGCAGAGTATGGTTTGAAGAAGCAATAGCAGTTCAATGCATAAATTCCCAAATAACCTCGATAAGTCTACGTGATTTATTAGGTAAATGAACCTATCGCTTTACTTTGCTTAGTTCAAGTGGATTTCATGACTGTTTTTGTATGAAAATAAGTGACCGCATGTTTATTGCAGAAACATGCACGTGGTCATTACTGGATCGGGTTGGTCAATGTCCACCCGCACGGGATGGACATAGTGCAGTTGTTTATGAAGATAAGATGTTCATTTTTGGTGGTTTCGAAGACGAAACACAACGGTTCGAATTTATTTCTTCATTTTTGGTTGCCAGCTGAAGAAATCGCTCGGTAGTTATAGATAAAATCTTTGTTGGATCGTTTGTCAAGTTATAATTAATCACGATTAATTTTTTTTTCATTTATTAGGTAAACCGTAATTAATCACCGTAATTAATCACGATTAACTACGCGAATTGCTCTCTTCGGTTCCATCGTAAGAAGTCCATTTCTCATCTGTTATTGCAGTGAATAAGTTGTAAGCGCATTTCAGATTCAGTCAGGAGACCTACGCGTTTGACTTCAAAACACTGCAATGGACCGAAATCAGAGCAACCGTAACCTTTATTTCTCATTTTTGTTTCTTCGTCATATTCTCCGTATGTGATCAGTCTGAAGGAATGCGTTTCTGCAGTCAATGCCCTACAATAGTTTTAGCACTGATGAAACTACCATGAATCGCGTCTGTCGTTGTTTAGCTTTGAGTCGATATCAAATTTGCTGCTCAAATTATGATGTTTCGTTCTTTTCGGTTTTGTTAACATGAAACGCATTGTTGTACTGTTTGAGAATCTCTTAAACAAATGCCGGACTTTACAAAATTTGTCGTATATCTTCAAACACTTAACATCTTTTGAGAGTCAGCAAATGCGTTGAGTTCTAGTGAAGCACTTGAAATTGCTGGTATTTTAGTGTGTTTAGAGCAAGTTCCTATCGGATGCTACAGATGAGACTAGCGCAATAATTTTAAATTTTTTTACACGTTGAGGTTGTTTTGCTACTTTTTTGATTGATGAAGAATTAACGGTTTCATTCATTCATTGCACGTTACAGGGCTCACCACCACTATGGCGCGATTTCCATACGGCTTGCGTTCTCGACAGTAAAATGTACATTTTCGGTGGTCGAAGTGATCAACTTGGTCAATTTCATAGTTCCAGAGATTTCTATTGTAAACGTTTGAAGGTGCTGGATTTGAAGAAATTCGAGTGGCAAGAGCCGAACGCGTCTGGTGATTGCCCATGGGGAAGAAGGAGTCACAGTGCATGTAAGTTCACACGTATCCGGCTAGAATGGTAGTAGTAAAATAATGCAAAAGTGAGGAGTGTTTTCTCGGTGAGCATCATGCCTCAACTCATAGCAGTATGTCTTCGAAGCTTTCGAATGACTTCATTTAAGAGTTGAAACAGTGTCAGATTGTTGTCTTGTAAGTATTGACTGATGCTTGGTGTTTAAGAATTTGACCAACAAGGAGTTCCTCAAAGCTTTTCGCAGTTGTTCACAACAACTAACTTTTAGGGGCATACAACGGTCGTATGTACATATTTGGTGGATATATAGGTACGTCAAAGGTACATTTGGGAGATTTGTATGAATTTGATCCAACCAAATGCAGATGGCGATTGTTGACTCCGTTTGGTGATGGACCATCGCCCCGAAGGCGGCACTGTACGGTGCTCGTTAACGATCGACTTTTCCTTTTCGGAGGAACGATGTGAGTGAGGCTATTATAGTCCGCAGATTTTTGTTTTTTTAAAAAATTGCGTTCACATTTTTTCTGATTATCAATGGTACCACAAGAAAATATTATGAA